CCCCCCCCCCTAGATAACTAATTTGAAATCCTTAAAAGATAACAGAATCCTCTTGGAGGTGGAAGGTTGCATTAAGTGATTCTCCATTTGTGGTGAAGTGGGGACAGGACAGATGTGACGGAAGCCTGAACCCTTGTCCCGCTCCTTGGCCCCATACCTACAAGTTCTGAAGTAGGTTTGTTACTGCTATGACCCAGGCAGGCTTGAACACTCCGTCAATGGAAAGGAAATGGTGTGGGAGGAGGGAAGGCGGCAGGGTCTTTGGCCGAGCTCTTCCAGGTGGCCTTGATCACCCAACTCTTCCCATGGCAGAAGCAGCAGCCGAAAACCGGGACTTGGAGCCCCCTTCCAGCCCAGCAGAGGTGCCAGGGTCATCCCCGTTGCCCCTGACCTCACCGGTGGCTGTGGAGGATGTAGCGCCCCTTCCGGCGTCTTCGGACAGCGAGCGGTCAGCCTCGAGCATGGAGGGGCCTGGCGGGGTGCTGTATGCGCGCGTAGCCCGGCGGGAGGCGCTATGGGCCCGGGCTTGGGGGGAGGCCGGGGGCCTGTCGCCATCGCCGGAGCGCAGGAAGCCGCCACCGCCCGACCCCTCCACTAAGCCCAAGGTGTCCTGGATACACGGCAAGCAGGTCGCTGCCCAAGCCACCCGCGCGCCCTCGCCGTCGCCCCCGGCTCCCGAGGCTGCGCCCAGTCCCAGCAAGAGGAAGCGGACTCCCAGCGACCCAGCACCGCGGCCCCCAGGGCTAGCCGAAGAGGCGCCTGTCCCTGCCGCGCCCTCGCAACAGAGGGCCCGAGCTCGGAGGCGCGGCCCCGGCCCCTCAGAACCGGTGGACGCCGGCGGGCCCCCGCGCAACGCGCCCGAAGCCGCGTCTCTCCTAGCGGCCGAGCTGCGCGGCAAGACTCGCAGCCTAGGCCACGTCGAGGGATCCCCCGGCGCACCAGGGCCTCGAGAGAAGCCGGCCCCGCCGCAGAAGGCCAAACGTTCAGGGCTGCCTGTCTCGCCGTCCCGCGCGCCCCCTGCGCCCGAGACGTTGGAACCGGAGAAGACGGCGGTCGTCGCCCCATTTCCCGAGACCCCCCGCAAGAAGACACCCATCCAGAAACCGCCGCGCAAGAAGAGCCGGGAAGCGGCGGGCGCTCCTACCCTGTAGTGAGGCCTGGTGCCGCAGCACCCGCAGCTTCTCCCTGCTTTGTAGCACTGCGCTCACCCCGCAGCTGCGCGGCCCGCTCAGCCTCCCGTTGGTCTGCTGAAGCCTGCCTTTTGGCTCGAACCCCGCGCGTGCACTGGCGAGAAGACCTCTTAGACTGATCGAGGCCTGTGGCGCTTATAGCTTAGCTAGCGACTCTGACGGAGTTGTTGTTAAGCGCCGTCGAGTCAGTGCTTAAATCTTCCTGTATTTCACTGGCTAAGGCCAGGAGGTGTTGCCTAGACACCACCTTTTTGGTCCAGCGTGAACAGCTGGGCTACCTTTTTATTTGCTGGTGCCAGAAGCCTTTCTGCCCCGGCTGCCTCTCATTGGCCAAGGCCTGGCGCCTTTAGCCATATCCGGAAGCTACTTCAACTGACTGGGCCCCTGGTCATTTGGTTGATCTGATTCTTCGGGTGGAGAGCTGGCCTCTACTCCTTCTTGGTCTCTGGGGCCCACAGGCTCAGCCTGCCTGCTCCTGCCTACTTTTGCTCCCCCTCCCTGACTTCCCCAGCCCTGATCTCTTTGCTGTCAAGCTGGTTTTGATGGCCTTCCCACACCCACCATGGGCTTCCAAGGCCCAGGGGACTTGTATTTGTCAGCCCCTAGCAAGGCTGCCCTGCCCAACCCGGGCGCCCCAGGATGGGTCCCCATCCCCATCCCCCCAAAGCAGGGGCTTGGCCAAAGCTTTCTTAATAAAAGTGCCTTTTCTCTCTGCGCAGACTTCCCAGCTGTTCCGGGGGAGAACGATGAGGCTTTCTGCTCCCGTAAAGATTTACCGCCTCGGAAACCCTGTACAGGGTCGCTATGAGTCGGAACCGACTCCATGGCACATAACAACAACTACAACATGAGGCCTGGGCAACGGTGACTCATGACATGCTCATTCACCCCAATGGCTTATTAGTGGGGCCTTTAAGTCCCAATTGAGGGTCTCGCAAGATCACATGGGTGTGGATCCGTCCAATCATTCATTCAAATATTCTGCTGTGATGAACCCCGTCCTGGACCTGCGCCCAGTACGCTAGCCAACAGGGCAGAAGACGAAAAGGTCATGGTCCTTGCCTCCCCGAGTGGTCATTGCTGTTCTTCCGTGGACGAGAGCTGTTTGGTGTGGCTGGGTGGCGTAGGTTGGGGCCATGGGAGACTGGGCTGCAGGCGCACCTCCAGCCCGGCCTAGTATGAGCAAACAGTACGGGCTGCCTCCATGCAGAGCCCCACCGTCAGCCTCAATGGGTTCCTTGTCCTTACCCGGAAACTCCAAACATAGACCTGATTGGCCTCTGCCAAGGAAGTAGGGGGATGGGTCCAGCCGTCCTCAGCCAGCCCTCTGCCCCTGCAGGGGCCTCCAGCTGACCCCCCCTCTCACTGGGCTTCCGTCTGTGGCCATTTGTCCTATTAATCTACTCATACCAGGGGTCGGTCTAGAATGCCTTTCCTAAGTCATAGACGTTTTTTATGGCTCGCAGTGTCCACCTGGGAGTCCCTGGGTGATGCAAACGTTGCTATGCTTGGCTGGTAACTGAAAGGTTGAGTTACCAGCCAAGCATCAGGTTTGAGTCTACTTATGGGGCCCCTGCCACTGCTGTCCAGTCGATTCTGACTCATAGCTACCCTGTAGGATAGAATAGAGCTGCTCCATAGGATTTGTCTGTCAGTCTAACCGAAGCAGGTTGCTTCATCTTTCTGCCACGAAGTGGCTGGTGGGTTCAAATCACTGGCGTTTGGATTAGCAGCCTAATTCTTAGCCCACTGCACCACCGGGGATCCTACACCCAGAGGCACCTGCAAAGAAAGACTGGTGATCTACGTCTGAAAAATCAGCCATTGGAAATACCCACCATGAGTTGGAGTCAACTCTAAGGCAACTGGTTTGGTTCTTTTAGTACTGTCTGCTGAGTCCATCTAGGCTCCTCCTATCTCCCACCCCACCTCACAGGCTTCTTCCCTTCCTTGCAACTTCTTCCCCATCTTTAGATGTCCTGCTCAACGTTTTCTGAGTCCTGCAAGGTTCTCCCCACACCCTACCCCTAAAACCCTTAAGGTGGCCTATGGTCTGACTAAAACAGTTCTCATCCTAAAGCTCACCCAGACACTCACCCTGCCCTTCCATCATGTGACCATGGATCTCATGAAGGTAAACATGGGTCACCTGGATGGAGATGGCATGATGATGTGGGCATCTGAGGTGGCTAGCAGGGACACAACCCCTGTGTCCAACAGGATCTCAGGGCTACTTTGGGTCATTGGACACCTTTGCTGCCATGGCTTTGTGGCTACCAGCTCACCGCATCATGAAATACACCATGCCGGAGCTGAGAACAGAGGCTCAGAATTGGCCAGGAGGGGCAGATGCTCAGCTGGGTCCAGCGAGGATGGAACACTGACCTTGTGGGGGTGGGGTACACAGTGCAGTGGTCCAGAACCCCCAAAACTATTGCTGTTCCCTGCTACCTAGTCCCCAGTCCCAGGATTCTCTCTATTCCCTAGCTTGGACCAGCATGGCTTGGGGAAAACAAATGTGTCCTAACAAACAGACCTTTCCTGGGCTGCCCCTCCTCTCTCTCCCTATAAGCCTCCTCAGGGGTCCAAACCTTCACCTTTAGGAGCTCCTCTTCAGGGGTACTTCCAGCTTGCCACCCACCCTGCGAAGCCCCCACCCCAGAAGCATCCAGGGTCACCTGGGGAAGGGAGCTGCTGGACCCTCTAATGCTCCTCAACCTAAATGCACCACCCGCTCCCCACATCACTACTCCTTAGGCCTCACAGAAGTGCCAGCTCCCAGAGCAGGAGCCACAAAAGGGAACTGTGGCTGCTGGAACCTCCGTTACCATGGGGATGGGGACCACAGGACTCACATCTGGTAGCGATTGAAGAGGAAAAATTATGAGTCGTGGAAAACGCAAATATTTTCTGTAGCACAAAACACAAAGGATCCAGAGGAATGTGGGGACTGGAGAGGGGCCAGAGCCCAGCTTGGCTTCAAACAGGGATCCAGCACATGGCACACAGAGACACACATTACCAGTCTCAGAAACAAGAAGAAAGATACCCACCCTACAAGCACAACACATACCGGACGCTCAAACACACCCTGTAACACACACACTCCACACAGACAAGCATTCACCCTGTAGCTTTCACACTCACCAAAATAACCACAGAAACAATAAGACACACATACACACTTCACCAGACACATAGCCATTCACTCACAACAACACAGACACACCAAAATAATCACAGACACCGACACACACACACACACACACATTCCATCAGACACAAAGGTACTCACCCTGTAACACATACTCGCTGAAATAACCACAGAAACACTAATACACACACACCCTGCAAAATGTTCAATTAGACCCACAGTAAGATGGAGGCACTTCCTGAAAATACACACACTAAATCCACTCAGAAACAGAGCAGGAAGCACCCTGCCGTACACAACATATGCCACCGGACCCAGAAGCCCCGAGAGACACTGTGAAACACGCACATGACCAGAACCAGAGAAACATATGCACCTACAATTCATACACCACCAGGCCCCCAGAAACACTGCCACTCTCGCTCTACGACACACACATGTGGGAGTCAAAGAAGTCACAAGACAGACACATCATGCAACATAAAAGACAAGCACCATCAAATTTACAGCAGGAGAGACCCAGACCCCATGACACACATGGACTCACAGCAACATTCCACCAGACACAACAACATGCTACCAGAAATCTAGATACAGATGCAGACACAAGCCCTGCGGTAAACCAGTCAAACTACTACCACAACAAGATGGATGCACCCTTAGCATGCATACACCATCATTTCCACAAACACATCGTGATGGAAACAAAATCGTGAACACACAAATATGCACACCGCCAGATTTAAAGAAACTCATTGAGATAGACCCTATAACAGATAAGCAAAACATACTACACACCCTAACAAACCCAGAAGGACACACACGCACACATAGGAATACATGCACACACATGAAGCACAAAGAAACACCAAGCAAGATATTCACCTTGCAGCACACAAACACAGCATCACACCCTCATAAATATAGAGACAGGCTACATTCTACCACAACCACAGATACACAGAATGCGTACATACACTGCACAATAGATACACAAACTTTTCAACCTACAGATATATAGCATATATTTGAACATTCACATTATATACACATTCATACACATGTATATCACACACATTGTATACACATTCTCACTGAAAAAAACACAGAATCACAGCAATGTGCATACACATCTGAGACTTAACATAAACGTACATAGACTCCAGGTGCTGTACAGAATCACTAACACAAAAATATCTGTAACACGCACACCACCAGAATCAGAGAAACACCAACATAGGTACGTACCCTGCAAGTACAGACGCTCTCTCAGACACACAGGCAAATCCTGCAATACACACGCCAACACCAACATCACCAGACAGATGCAAAAACAATAAGACAGACACACAGCCTGTCACAGACACACACTCTGCCACAAAGACACATCCTGTAAAAACAAAACAAAAAACAGTGATATATCCTGCAGCACACACACTTACACCCTGGTACCAGCCACACACACAGAGACACTTACACAATGTTCCACAGAGCCTCTGGGACTGTGTGTACCAGAAAATGTACAACAGTATGGAGATAGAGGCGCGCCCTGAAACACACACACCACGGAGATACAGACACAGTAAAAGCAATGCAAATGGAAATACATAGCTTCCACTGAACCACAGAGACACCACAACAAACACACATTACAACATTCATTCCACCACACAAGAAACACAGAAACAAATGCTTGCCTTGTAACACACACACTGGTATCCCACCAGACCAAACGAAATACCAAGACAGACACCCCCACCGCAAAACTTCAGACACACTCTCTGATGGACACACAAAGAGAACTCTA